CTGATCGCCCCTTATAACGCCTGTTGTGCAAGCCAGAACAGCGATTCCCCAGGCTGCGCTTGAAAGTATCAGAAGTAAGAGACACATGAGAGGGAAAAGGGAGGCCTGCCTGAGAGGAACTGGGACGCCCATGAAAATGTTGTTGTTTTTTTCTTTTTGCTGTCTGAGAGAGCTCAAAATGTCTTTTTCAGCCCTCGCGTGTTTCCCTCACGCATCGCGTTTTTCTTGCGTCCATTCTAATTTTGTGCGCAGGCTACCATACCAGGCCACCATGGCCCAGTCGTTCAAAAGTTGGATGACGCTATCCGATGGATAAATCTCTATCCAGTGGATAACGCAATTGGTTTCCCAAATACTTATCCGCTGGATCCAAGCGCTGTAAGTGCTATCCAGCTTTTGAACAACCGGGGCCCTGGAGGGCGGATTGACCGCGCGGCTTTATCTCGAGGCCTAGGAACTAGGCAAGCGCTTGACCTCGAATGACACAAAGAATGATCCACAAACATATTTTCCTCCGGACGCAACAAAAGTTAACTTCACTTCATTTACATGTATTGGGTTGATAAAACAGTTCTGTACTATTTCCCCTTCATGCATCGTTAGAAATGTCAACTGGGACTCGTAGACCCAGCATTTCTCGTTTTCCAAGTGTTAGTTTTAGCAAACAGTCCAGTGTGAATTCAGATGGTTTCTTCGATGATGCAGATGGTGTTGATTCTGCACGAGCGCACGATCGACAAGAAGAAGCCGAGAAAGGTTCCGCAATCTGGAGTACCACGAGGAGAAAGCTTACTCTGGTGTCTTTGTGTCTTGTCTACTTTGCAGCTACGGCATCATTCGCAATTTTGTCTCCATTTTTTCCCAGCGAGGTAAATAATGTTATAATGACTTCTGTTTTAAATCCCGTACTCAGCGCACTGAACGTGCCGGGATACTGCAAAACGTTCAGCAAAGTCCTTCCAATTACTCAAAATACCATAACTTCTAACTTCCACTTAGTGTCGTTCTATTAGTATTTTTGAAACGTCGCTTTATTGTGAAACGTGTAGTAAATCCCTTAATTTTTTTAAAATAAAGTTTTAAAGGTTTAAGGAAAGGGGGGAAGGGGGGGCGGGGTGGTCGACCAATATTTGGGTATAGGTGTGAGCCGCTTAGGGTTTGAAACTCTGACCCTGTTTAGGGCAAAAAATTCCTAAAATTCATACTCTGGTTATAGGACAAGGAGGTATAAACCATACCCTGTCCAGCGGCACGTCCCCCCATAGGCCACGTTAAAAAATTAAGGGAGCACCTCTCTGGAGTGTCCGTAATTGTGATAAATCTCAAAGTGTACTTCGCGTTAGCCTCCCCCGCAGACATTCTTAGGGATGCGTCATGCATTCCTGCCCCACGAACAGGAATGCGTGACACACCTCTAAGAATGTCTGCAGGGGAGGCTAACTTCATGTTGGCCTTAGTTGGAATGCCACTAAATGAAAAAAAAAAAAAGATTGTGGTGGTCCAACTCAATTATGAGCAAAGGCTGTATTCTCAGGTTTTTTGTAACACTCGTTTATAACTGAACAATGCAAGGCAGTAGTGATGTCCCTAACAATTTCGTTACTGGTGCATGCAAGGTCGGTAAATCCATTGTTTCAGTAAGATTTTCATATGATCAAAGTATGTGAGTTTTGAAGGTACATAAACCCATGGACTTGTAAAAACATGAATCATTAAAGGTAAAGTCAACCCTCAAAATTAAAATTTACTTTACAACCTGTTCAGTACCCTAGCATTCAGGTAGGGTTAGCCTTATGGAAGGGTAACCCTGCCTGCCTCGTAAGCACCCTCATAAAAAAAAATAATAAATGTGCTACTGTGCAGGTAACCCTAGCACCAGGGACACCCTTCCTCCTTGTAAACGAGATGAGTGTCCTTGTAGATGGGTCAGGGGTAAAATATGACACAACGTTTCGCCTGGTGACTCTTAATGACTTACGTTTGATGATGGGTGACAGTAAAAAAAAGTGAAATCTTAGTTTGTGTACTGAAAAAGTATTTGCTGGGAACTCTATATATTTAGCTTTTGAGCTTCAGTAATTCATTATTATTGGAAAACAGAGAAATATTTGGCAACTGGGATTGCAATGTATTTCTGACTGAGAAAATGGGGTTTGAGTTACTGGCTCCGGGATTTGCCCACACATTTTCACCTCTTGGACTGCAGAATTTGATGTAAATTTTGAATGATAAACTGAGGACTGAACAAAATATATACCCTTCCCTCCCTAGCTTCCCTTGTGAAACAGTGATAACATGTTTATACTGGTGATATACATGTCTGCTGACTTTGTATTGCAGGCTCAAGAGATGGGTGCATCAGGAACTATGATTGGTCTCATCTTTGGTATCTATCCTCTCGTGGTCTTTCTTGTTGCACCATTATTGGGAGTGTTTGTAAGTGAACTCTGTGTGCATTTTTCATTGGTAAATCATTAGACTGTAAGTGATCTAATAGAGGCCTGGCATTTTCTTTTAACTTTATGGGTCCAACTAGGGGCTGTTTAGAAGGTGGGAGACGTTTGAAAGAGAGATTTGTCTATGTTCATATATTAATTAATTATCGCGATAACAAACAAGTCTCTTTTTTATTGTATAAACTCAACAAAACTAATATGTTTTCATAGGGGGGGGGCTTGTATTAGACAAGGGGTGTTTATAAGAGAGGGGTGTCGTAGGAGGGGCATTTATTAGACAAGAGGTGTAGTGGAGGTCTGTTAGATCATTCACAGTACATGTACAGGTTGTGTTATTTTATGTTAATTTTTTTGGCAGAGACCCAGAGGCAGTTTTAAAAAGGATGATTAGAGGGGTAATTTGATTCAGTAATTTGTTTTCTTGTACCAAAACAGTAAAATGACAATACCAGAATACCAACTGGAATGAGAAGTACAAAATATACCGAAGTAGTCATTGCTTTGTTTTTTGTTTTTATTTTTTGTCCACAAACTTGCTCACCTGCAACATTGAAAACCTATTTTCTCTACCTAAACCTTGTGCGGAACTTGTACTGTAATATTGTTTCTACTGGACATCTCATTTTTATTTCTTTTTTAATTACTTTAGCTCCCACAAGTTGGTCCAAAGTTCACATTGACAGCAGGGTTGTTTCTTTGTGCTGGGTCGCAGATATTATTTGGGTATTTATACCAGTATTCATATTTTTTTGCTGTAATGCCTCAGCATTAAAGTGTAATAAGTTAATATAATCTGTATTATAGAAAGCAAGCCCTTAATACATGACTGATTTTTTTTTGTAGATTTGTGTCATTGCTTCCAAAGGGTGAAGTGTTTGTGGTGTTTTGTTTTATTCTCCGTGTTGTGATGGCTTTTGGCGGAGCAGCAGCTGACACGGCTTCATTTGCTATTGTAGCCGGAGAATTTGGTGCAAAGATAGGAGTTGTAACGGTGAGCTATAAATACAAAACTACAGACATGCAACAATACTCAAACAATATTTTAGACACGTTTATTTCATTTTGTTGTTTATGTGTTTCTGCATTTAGTTTTTATGGTGGCCAATACACACAGACCACACCCGGCATGCATTGTCCAAATTCTGTTGTCTCTAAGTTTGCAGGCAACAGTGGTGAGAGCAGTTGCTTATTTGTTTTTTGTGCTTTGATTTTTCACCTGTTAGGGAGCAATGGAGACATTTACTGGTCTTGGTTTCATGTTAGGACCACCTCTTGGGGGAGTTCTTTATTCTGTGAGTTATAAATCTGTTTTATTTTATTGACTGTTTCACTTACTTTTAATTTTAGTGAATTGCACAATTAAGTCATCTCACATGAGGATGTATTATTTTACTGGGAGATCATTAGGGGGTACTATGGAGTGTGCTTTTCGGGGCAGGGGGGTGCACATTAAGTAAAAAGTAATGGTAATGCCCATAAAGAATAGAAGTTATGGTGTGTGCACAAGACTCATTTGGACTCCTCCAATGAAAAATTCCTGGATCCTTCCCCAATGAAAAACATTGTTGGAAAGTTTATTAGCAGTATTGTGTTGTATCTTTTTCTTTCTTTTCTTCCTCTGTTTTTGGCAATACCCTCCATTTTAATTATTATTGTTGTTGTTGTTGTTGTTGTTGTTGTTGTTGATGATGTTGTCATTGTCATTGAATGGTTTAGTTGCTATTGATCCTATTTTTTCTTTAAAATTTCAGGCAGGAGGGTTTAAACTGCCCTTCATTGTCATGGGTAGTCTTCTTCTATCAATTTTACCTGTGGTATTGATCATTTTACCAAGAGATGAAAGTAAATACAAATCAAGATCTAGCCTTTACTTTACTTATTTATTTAGTGAGCATGTACATTATTATTATATTTAATACATTATTATTATTGACATGGACTAGCATGCATTTACCAGCCAAGGTGCTTGTAAGTGTCTGCGAATACTATTATCTATAAAATGCTTTTAAATTTGATGTTTATACCAGCCCTGAGCTTTCAAGTCACAGAACCTCGATATAATGAAACCTTGTTATAGCAAACATTGTTTGTCAGTCCTTGGCCCTTCGTCAGTTATATTGAAGTTCCACTTGTGAATGGATGCAGAGCTTTTATGATAGCTTTTTGTTAAGGTGAAGGTTTTCGAAAGCACATCATTGTTGGGTGCCTTTACTTTACATGTATATCATATCAATGGGTTTCCCTGCATCTTAGTTCTTCATTCCACACTAATTATGATACCCCCTTGCCCTATAGAGTAGGAGCCCTTCCTAACAACAACAGTTGTTGCAATGGTGCCTTATAACTAACAGCTGCTGAAATAAAAAAAAATAATAATTAAGTACGTGCTCAGTAGTGAATGCCATATTTCCTGTTAGTTTTTGAGTCTTTCACCAGAGGTAACTAAGCCAATTTATTTTACTTGTTGCTTTTCTTGTCTTTTTAGATGTATTTAGAGAAAAGAAAGGTTCATTAATTCAAGCTGCAAAGATCCCAGGAGTCGCCGTGATAGGTGTATTTTGCCTGCTGTTTTGTCAAAGCCATTAAAGAAGCCTATTCATGTGGTTACAATACAGCGCTTGTTCGCGATTAAGAACTGTTAAAGGAAATATATGTTGGGTGTCCTGTGTGTGCATCATTAATAGGCCATGCCGAGTTGCCTTAAGCCTCTGTTTCAAAGCGAGGCTCAGTGTGAAGCCATTGATATGAAGATGATATTTTATTCTCATGCAAATAGAACTCATTTTAACATTAAGCTTTTGCACCTACACTTAGCCTTGTTTTTAAAGTGAGAGTTTTTGTAACTCGGAAATGGCCTATTTATAATGTAGGTGCCCTGTGTACATGTGGTGTTACCATTTATACATGCAACTACATGTATTCGATCTTTGACATGTAAGTACGAGTCAGTGCAAAAAGCGGCCTTTCATTCACCACGCATCCAGTCTCTCTCTGTTCACTAGCTACACAAGTACAGCGTAAACGGCCATTTTGACTTAAGCTCTGCTAACGCGCCCCCATTTCTTTTGCCAGATCTCCACTGTCATTATTTTTAACAGAATTGTTAAACTGTTTTCTTCTTTCCTTTTTTCCCTATTATTTTGTTGCATTCAATTTCTGCTCTTGTACTTTTTTTTTCCAGGATTTTGTATTCTTGTATCGGGAATAATACTTAGTTTCCTGGATCCAACATTCGCACCTTATATGAAGAAAGTAAGTAGTGGTTCGAGGAAAGAAAACAGAAAAAAAGGGAAAAGTCAAAGAAATGAAAGGGAAATAAGACACATTAAGGGGGGGCGTCTTGATTCCTTCATCCCCCTTTAGATAACAGAGCCGGCCCAATCTTGCAATAACAAAAGAAATGGTTTTCACTCCTGGGTTAGAGTTCAAAGTCTCGTTTATCATAAGTTTTGAAGAACTTCGGTGAATGGGGCATGGGCTTTTCGTCTCTACCACCAAAAGGCATTGAAAGGTTCAACGGACGAAGGAGAAAGTATCACACCTACAAGTACGTTCGCAAAAGCGAACGTCTATTTCTCGTCTCTCTTTTGAACTAGTCATGTATCCCTGTAATTCTTTATATGATTAGAAATATCTTTTAGCAATATGTGCAGTTTTGTGCCCTTGCAACGTAATCCTCAGTGTATCTTTTTACCTTGTAGCGAGCTGTTATATACTGACTATTTTGTTTTCTTTTAGCACCGTCGCTTTCCCTTATAACGTTTCCCTTGTATAATGTTTTGTTCCTTGATAGCAACTCTCTGTACAAGACATGACTTTGAACAGTGTCATTTTTTCAGCTTCTTCTACAGTTCGACCTTTCTAAAAGAGTTAACTTTGTTTCCGCGTTCCTTCAGATCCGTTCTTATCCTTCTGTTGTCAAACATATTTTTCTTTTGTGTGGTAGTTTGGTCTGGGTCCTAGCAAAGTCGGATTGCTGTTTTTACTTGTTGCGGGATCTTATGCGATATCTGCTCCTGTGGTTGGGTGGATATGTGACAAGACGGTAAGCGACGTTTTAAGTTAAGTGACTTCCGGCTAAATGTGATCCACATCGAAACCTCCTTATCAGTGGAAACTGAGGTCCGTCTGTCGTTGTGTAGGTTTGGAGTAGGTTTGATGGCTTTTTGCCTCTACCGATCTCGACTGGAATAACATCGCACACAAGATTCGTCATGCCATTGTTTTTTTGCCCTTGTTCTCACCGCAGGCAAATTAAGCTAGAGTGATAACAGCAGTGAAAAATAATCATGGCAATATTATTCCGTGTTTATGTCACACCCTTCCCTCATCGTTTACCTCAGCTGCTCGAGTTGTACTGCAGAAGGTTTTCCTCCCCACAACAACCCTCAGCTACTCATGCGATAATAGGTTCCTAACTAACGCATCATTAAATTCGATCCATATGAAGTAGAAGCTCATTTAAGTGAAAGTTAATATTTTTCGGGCTATACTCTATGACTAGTATTGTACTGTACGCCAGCTGGTCATAACCATATTTACATTTCGTCCGGTAATTTTATTTGTTACAGGGTAAAACTCGGTTGGTGATGTTGTTAGGTGTGTTGTTCGTAATCATCGGAATCCTTATGCTCGCTCCAGCCCCATTCCTGACGTTTCTTCCTCAGAGGTAAGTGTTCCTGTGGTTATATTGGAATCCTTATGCCCGATCCAATTGCATGCGGTCCCTGCATTTTAAACAATTGTGTAAGCAAATCATACGAAATTAGTGCTAGAATTGCTTAGTTCACAAGGGATCGAAATTCCATTATTCCCTGGCGAACTATGTTTTTACATGTATATTTTTTTTAATAATGGTGTAGAGAAAAACTGTAGAAAAACTAACGAGATGATGTTCCTACGTTTCGGTGACCTGGTGAAGCAATTATCGAGGAAATGGAAATAAATAAATGCGAGCTCGTAGTTTGTATAAATGAAGTAGAGCTTGACAAAGACTTTAGCAACAACTGAATCTTTTTCAACTCGCCTTTATTTTTTTCCAATTCCTTGATACTGGCGTCGTGAGGTCGCCGAAACGTCGGAACATCATCTCGTTAGTGTTTACATGTTTATATTCAGTTATTGTTTGTTTACAAACTTGTGTTTCCTTGCAGGAAGGTATGGCTTGTATGTGTTTCTATGGCGCTGTTAGGTGCTGCTGTTAGTGCGTATCAAGTGCCTTGTATGCCAGATATGTTAGAAACAGCCAAGTAAGTGCTATCTTGGCCTTACACAGGACAATTCGTAAAGACGATTTTCTGCACAACAGAGCGTTGCAACATTGTTGTGACATTGTTTTAAATAGTATCAACATGGTTCCAACAAGGTTGTCATAGAAATCGTCGTTTCGAATCGTTTTGTGTAACATCACCTTCCAACTTCAATGTACTGTTCAAAAAATCGGGTAGATAACCGAAAAATCTGCTGAGTCCACCTTAAAGAGAACAGTCTCTTTAACCTGGCCTGACTTAACAGAAATACGACCTTTTCGTAATCTTAGTTAATGAATGAGGTTGTACTTCGTTACTTCATTCAATGTCGTTGAAAAGCCTTATCCGTGAAAAATGTTTGGTCGTCATTTTTTAAATCAAAGAGACTCGCCTAGAACTGTCCGCAGCGCCCATATTCCACGACTTGTGTTATTAGGGGCGGAAGCAGGGGACGCTCCAAAACCCTCCTTAGAGCCCCAAGTCCCCAGCACAGTGCCCCAAGGGAAGTGGATAATACTGAGATCTTTATATTTGCATATTGTCTTGGTCAAACTGCCTTGTTGTCCTATTTCCCCTCTTTTCGACATTTTCATTCTTGCCTCGTGGCCGGTGGCTGGTAGCTTTCGTAAAAGAAGAGTTGTTTATGTCATGTAACAAGAAACGTGTCACTTTAATTTTCTATTTCCCGTTACACTTACAGTTCAACGCGACAGAACGTAAAACCAACCTGGTCTTCTTTTCAAATACTTTTTAGGCAACATGGAATGCCTGATGATATAACCACGCATGGAGTTCTGTCAGGGATTTTTAATGCAACTGCAAGTATAGGGTAAGATGATACATGTGATTTACACTCTCGGGTATCCCAACATACGGCCCTTTCCTAATAGAAGCGACTGTAGTATCACAGGAGTCACTGATAAGCTAGTTACCCGTACATTCACCCTTGACTATGTCAGTCACTTATTGATTCCCTCATTATTGTTTTTTATGATTGTGTCAGTGCGTTTCTAGGACCAACAGTGAGTGGACTAACAGAGCATTACATTTCATTTGAGTGGTCGACTGTGGTAAGTGATCTAAGCACTGTATATATATAAGGCCATCAACTCGTGTTAATTATAATAAACTGCATGTTGAGTCGAGAGACTGCTTACTGTTGGCGATGTGTCTTTAAACGTTTATCTTTGCTGTTTCGCTAGGAGGCAGCGTGGCCAAATGGTCCGGCAGCGTAGAAGACTTATAAGCTGTATGTCTTGGGTTTAATTCTCGCATTGTCCACAAATTTGCTTCCTTCTCCGGGGTCATGAGTTCAACTCCTCGATCACGCTTGCAAATATTCAGGTGGTTTGACTTTATTACATTTAAGTTACTTCTTTCATTCGTTTGCTTGGGTCCATGGCGAACCTTTAAGCCTTAAGCACAGTCGGGAGTTGCCGTATATTCAGTCTGTATATTTTTATTATCGACTGTATGAGTATTAAAAGTACGTTGAGTTTGATCGTCCGGGTGAACGTAGTCCTGAATAGGACTGTGTTTGTTGACAGTGACTGACGTTTCGACAACCTGTGTGGTAGTCATCTTTAGAGTCAAAGTGAGTTGTACAGGGGCACCCAACGAATATTTTTCTGAAAATGAGCCGTTAACTACAGAAAACCAAAATTTAGATGCTTTTAAGGCATTTTCAAGCACTTTTCTGTGTTGCTGGAAAGAATTTATCTGTTCCTCACTCAATAAATTCTCGACCGCAGATTTAAGACTTTACTTCCCAGCAGAACAGCCGAAACCTCAGTTCCCAGCCAGCAAAATTTTCTCTGTAGAACAGATATTGTGAGGAACAGATCCGTTGGGTGCCCCTGGTTGTATCACGTCAGTTGATGGTATTATACTCTGGTTATTGATCTGATTGGTCAATTACGTCGCGATGTTATTGGTCGTCTGTCAGTTAAGCCGTGATGGTATTTGCTATGAAGATTCGTGATCAGTAATTGGTGCGTTTCGATCCGTCTATTGTCACAGTTAAACAGTCGTCTGTTGTTAGTCAAATTGTCAGTTCTCCAGTCGTTCTCTCGTAGTTAGTTTTGCTTGATCTCGTCAATAAGTCGTTTGTACGGCACTGGTAACTGTTGGCTACGATTCAGTGGCATTTGTTCTAAGTTAGTAAACCAGCTTTCTAAAGTAAGACGTTGATAGTAGTCTGTGTATGAGTATCGTCCAAAATTGTTGGAGTTTGGAATCGTCCGTGATGCTGGCGATGGCTTTTCATGAAAATACACATCTGCGAAACGAGCAAAGACCTAATAGTCACCGACTGACTTTAAAGGAAAAAAAAATTACTCCTCTAAAACCCTGGGCATTCCATTTGACCCCTTTTTTCTCTTTCACTCCGTAGGCTTTGGCTGGAATTCTTGGATTTCAGGTAAATAGTTAGTTAGGAAAGGCAACCAAGCACGGCAGATAATGCTTGGAATGCAAATAGCTGATAATTTTTTTATTATTATTTCAGGCTTCTATTCTGGCTCTATTTACGCTATTTGACCAAGGACGGAAAAGGTAACAAGACTACCATTCTTACGTAATTAGCCCGTAACGCTGCAAAGTAGATATTTTATAAGCCTGTGTGCTAGTTGAATGTTGCTAAGGTTTCAATCCCATATTGGTCAGTTCAACAGAGTTAGTGGAAGTGATGCAGAAGCCTTTCCCCTCCCTCCTCCCCCGGTGGCGGTTAAAGGCAGGTTCCTAAAATTAATCATAATGCGTAATGGAGAGCCCTAGCAGTCTGTTCCTCCCATAACTTAGTTCCTTGTGACGGAGTAATAAGTTAATGATGCAGGGGGAATATTTCCTTATTGAAGGCGAGGACGTAACAGCCACTGAAATCAACCTAAATCCTTGCAAAGTAAGAAAAAATGAGGTCTGTACCATTGACATCTACAGAACCTATGTTATTACTATGTAATTATGCGTGCTCTACCAAGCTTGTTATGTCAAAGTGACTGCATGCGCATCGACCAAGTTCCGTTTTCGCTTATACGAGGTTCATGAAGAGTACAAAAAGGACGAGAACAACATCCAGCAAGCGTTTGTCAATTTTTTTTTTGCTTGAACAAGGTGGGTAATCCCGAAAGACCAAGATAGGTTCCTCTTTCCCTTCATGATGCCCGTTCATGGAGCTCAGCCAGCCATATCATATAAAAGCTTCTTTAAAGCAACAGTATGATAGCCTGTTGGTGGCATGTTGTAGCGGTTCGGGCCACTAGCTTATCATCGCTTTTTCCGGATGTATCGTCTTGGACTAAGTTAGGACCTGTTTGCATGAAGGTGCCGGTGACCGCAGGTAGGTGAGGTAACCCGCTTAGGTGGGGTAACCCGCGTTTCCGCTCTCATTTTTATTTGGGTTGACAATATTTTTAGGTGGGGTGACAACATCAGAGATTATATGGACAGGCAGCTTATCCCACCTAAGCGGGTTACCTCACCTACCTGAGGTCCCCCACCTCCATATAAACAGTCCGTTAGTTTCTGTGTTAAGGTAAGCTTGCCACATGTATATTCCTTATGTATTTGTTCACCCGCAGTATTCGAAAATATAGCACAAGAAGAAAAGAACCTTTTGAAGAAGATAATCACATTCAGGTAAATGAAAAAAGTCTTATTTCATTTTCTAAATGCACAAGCTACGCGTACTTACATTATAGCGTTGTAAGAGTCTTACCTCATTGAATAGCTCTAGAATCGACCAAACTTTATATTATAGAGTCAATAATATGAGAGAGAAATTTTCGTGAGGAATTTCGGCACTCGGTAAAATTTCTTTCCAACCAAACAACAAGCAGATGAAAACATTGAAAAGGTCCTGTAGAATAAGTCTAGCAAAGCGCGGGAAAACAGGTAACGACGCGCGAGTTTCTTCCCACACCCTCCACGCAGAACGCGTTGTAAAATAAGAGTAGGTCTTGGGGACTATATAGTATGTCTTTTACTTTCGTCAAAACGAGTTTATTTGATGAAGTTAGTGTCTTCTTTCTGTTGCAGGCGTAAAGACTCTTCTTTCTCGGAACTTTTATTCCTAACTCCTGGACTGGTGATTTAAAAACTGAGGCTGAGGAGAAAAGTGTTCATACGCAAACAGTTTTCATGCGTCATGGTCGTCGTTGTTATGTTTTTTTTTAGCAGCAATTCACAGTGTTCCCACTAATATTTTTGTCACGTTACACTGAGGTACTGATCGCTAAACACAGTGACTAATCATAATATCGTAAAACCATGCCACAACGTTAAACGACCCCGTCATGTATGTTTTTCTAGTTATGATGACGGACTTATTTCTGTAAAGGAGTTGTAAATATAAAATGATTTGGTCGTTAGGAGAAGGTATGAAAATTTACTGCTTTAAAGACAACACTTCCCATTAGTACGTGTACGTAGTATACAGTCGATTATCAGAACACAAAGCCGTTTTATTGTCTGTCATAGCAAAACATTTACGGGCATCTAAGTAGAGTGGGATTTCGTGTGCCATGAAGAGAGAATGTAAGCAAGAATGTAAAATAGTTGATGTCTAATAGCAAATATCATAATGGCTCTATTTATTGTAAAATCCTCAAAAATTCCGCTTCTTTCCCGTTGAATGGAAAAATGGTAACTTAGAGGAGGCTCGATTTCCGACGCTTTGTAATCAGATTCCTTCCTGAGAAGCCTAGGCAAGGCAGGTGGTGTATGAGGAGCTATGACGGAGACTATATGGTGTGGTCTACCTTGCAATATATTTTTGACACACCAAACGTCCACATACACCACGTAACTCGTGCCAAAAAGAAGAAAGTTTGCAGGGAAGAGCGCAGACTCATAGCTTGCGAATACAGCCCTCTCTCCTTGCATGCTAGCGGACTCCTTAATTTCTGAACAGTGGCTGGTAAGCGGGCCTTTTCCTGGCTTTAAAGTAGTTTTCTGGATTTTGGCCATTTTCTATCGTTTAAAAAAGGTGAACACACGCAGTATGTTTCTTTTTTAGTTGTTTTCACTTTCAAAGCTTTGTGACAGTTTTAGGTAAGTCTGGTTTAAACAGAGAATGAAGGCTGCAATCGCTGGAAAAAATCCAGCCATTTGAACGATCGCAACGCCGATCATATGAGTGCCACTCTGAAGTTAACATATTGTAAATGAACAGTTGTAAATCTGTTAATCATGTAATGATTAGGTCTCGTATGACCTTACATCAAATATTTAAACATATGTTGTATTTCAAGTATAAACTGCAAATGAAAATATTACATCAACACTTAACTTATTTAACATATCTACAAAAATTAAAGTGAAAATTTGTAAGTAATGTATGTAAAAGACTGTTAATTATCATCCTTCGAGACCCAGGGGCAGATAGTGGGGACGAGGGAAAGTCTAAACGGGCGGAAAAAGTGTGGCGCGAAGAAAAGTAAAGAACGGCGAGAAGAGCTCTTCTCGCCGTTCTTTACTTTTCTTCGTTCCATATATATTTTTCCGCCCGTTTAGACTTTCCCTCGCCCCCTTTATCTGCCCCTGGGTTTCCGAGGATGGTTAATTATTTGTGCAGACAGGCAGAAAACACTTTGATGTAACGTGTTCAAACACATCATAGTTAATTGAGTGGAATGGTTATGAAACCTGTCAGACTCCCTTGTTATATGTTTTTGTGGACCTGAAAGTGCACAACGTTCAAAAGAATTCCTATCATTTTGATTGAATTGACCAATAAAAACGTTGCATTAATTTATTCCGTAACAATTTGCCAACAGAAAACAAAGGGTTGTGCACTTTCAGGGTGCTTCCAACATAAACTGCAGCACTGTTGTTTTTATCATTGATGTTTGCCGCTTTTGATAACCAGTCTCCTCTAATAACTATGAACACATTTAGTTCCTTCAGCGGAATCAGGATCCGCGCATCATCGAATACAGTAAGAACCCGCATACAACAACTTAATAACCGGGTGAAATTTGGCTTTTAAATACCCAAAAATATAAGAACCTGTTCAGCCTGGCAAAGAAAAATAGGTTCTTATACAAACAATCACTCCAATTTTGATGGTCAAAATTCCCCATTTTAATTTTGTGAGAAACTTTTGACCAAATTCTTTGTGTATACGTTTTCTTTGATTTAGAATTTTTTTGGATTTTCACCAGAGATATGTTTTCCATAAAGCTACCGTGTAACGTAGACGATTTAACATCTTCATATCTTATTTAAAAAATATAGAAATGTATTGATGTTCTTTTTGGACCTTGAATGTTTGCCATTATGTATTAAGGAAGAACCTTTTAAGAACCAATCGTAATCAGCCTGAATTGGGGAAAACTACCCTAAAATATACGAACCTGTTCAGCCTGATTTCGAAAATTCTAGGTTTTTATATGTGGGTTTTTACTCAAGAGACTATAAAGGGGACAGAGAGGGCATCCCCCATATACACCCTATTCCATAGGTAATTCGTCTTGAGTTATTTTTAGAATCGGGATAAAGTTACCTCGCGCGAGGCGTGGATGTTTCGTGGAGGTTTCGCATGACCAAACGCCGTGCAAAACATGTTGGGCGAGAGGCAATGAAAGCGTAAAAAGATCGAGAGCATTCCTGAATATTCAAGGAATCGCTGGACACTTTGACAACCCGTGAAATCAGTTTAACTCGAAGTTGTCGTAACCTCAGTGCTTTAATAAAATGAGAAATTTCGCCGGTCTATTGAAACCGGTCGTTTGTACAATTTAGGGAGTTTAAGATCCAACGACGCGGACGACAACTAGAACGTCAAAAAAACAATAGGTTTAATTAGCAAAACAACAACTTCGCACGTGCAACACACTTTTTTGTTCATTTCTTTCCCGTTTTTGCACGACTACGACGTGAAAATGCCTAATTTCGCGTTTTATGGAGGACGTAAATAAGCAACGACGAAATTTTATTTCTCTTTCTGAGCTTGAATATGGTCCCTTGAAATTCAGCTTTAGGAGGGTTCGCCTACAATTGACAAAGTAAGTGGGTAGGAATAATCGCTATAAAGACTGAAAAAAATAAACATCAAACCAGAAATTGCTCTCTTCAAACTGTAAATTATAAATGATCCTGAGAGAATATTCAGTGTGTTAAGGATTTCCCTGCTCTACTGTTAGCTCTATACAAGAGAGGAAGGGCGATTCTTTTTTAATTTCGGTTTCGCTGACACAGCTTTCGCAGAAATCTCGCTGTAGTCGTTTTCGTCGACAAAAGGAATAGCAAAATCGCTGTCCGCGTCTTCCCCCATTTTGTTCTGCGTCATTTCGTGAAGGACGCGTGGCTCTCAGCGTGGGTCATCCACGCGGAACACATTCGCGCTATGTGATTGGCTGTTGTCTAATCCCCCTTGGGATCTGTGGTGTTAAAAATAACTCGAGACGAATTGCCTATGGAATAGGGTGTGTATGGGGGATGCCCTCTCTGTCCCCTTTATAGTCTCTTGTTTTTACTGTATTTGTAAGACACTTCACAAGATAAAAAGCAAAAGAATGAAAATTTATAAAGAAAGGAAAATAAAATGCAATGCGTGGTGTTGTTTCCCTAAACAGCGAACCCTAGCTCGGTTAACCTGAAGGTTTATGCGTATTTTGAATCAAGGTTTCCGTCCATACCGACTTAGTGACATCGGCAATCGAATCAGCAGCGTTTTGTAAACGCCGGTTTCTCATAGTCGGTGTGGAAGGGTTAAAGAAAACTTTTGAGCGTTAGATTCCGCGCGGAATGTAACTGCCACCTTATCATTTTTGAAGACTTGTGGCATATCCGAAGTTACTTTTTTTTCGAGAATTAACCGATATTCAAGTATTTTTAAAAAAATTAAAGAATACGACCAGGGCTCCTTAATACTACTTACCCAGTACAGTGTCTTTTGCTCATAGCTTAAGGCTCCCCAATGCAATAGGGTTCTGTAATCCCGTTATCCTGACCAAAAGCTTCTTGCAATCCCGTAAACCCGAGGGTTAATTTTGGCATCCCACCTTCCGCGCATACTTTCAATCCCGAATCTCGCCCCGATTTTGCTTTAAAATCCCGAATCCCAAGCTTCAATATAAGGGAAATCCCGTATCGCGAAAAAGCTATTGTGGCAGGCGTCGAAATAGAAGGGGAAGTGGAAAAAAGGGGGAGGGGATTGGGGAGAGAAGGAAAGGGACCTTCCCTTTTATCTTTCGGACTTTTCTCAGACGAAAAAGATTCCAAAACGAGAAAAATACGGATAGGTGTGGATAAGGCCTAAATTTATAAGATATTTCCATTCAGGAAAACATCAGCGACGCGAAATGATAATCTTCAAGTTTTACTGCCTTTCTGATACTGCAAAAACTACCACCTGAAACTGATATAAAAAAAAAAACACAAATGGAGAGAAGAACTGAAAGGAAAGATAAGTGGATGTTAGATTCAAGGTCAGGAAAAAACATTTTGACTTCTCTACTTTAAACCTTTTGTTATAGGCCCTACTTTAATGTTAACAGAAATTTTATTCCGGAATATAATTCATTATCTTGTTTTGTTATGTTCCGTATCATTGCCGCCGCCCAGTTGGCTCAATTGGATAAGCGCCGGTCTGCCGAGCGAGAGGTCGCGGGTTTCAACCCCGGCCAGACGGAGGGGCTGGGCCACCACTCAGGGTCTTAGAATAACTGAGGAGAATGTGCTGCCTTTGTTGGGACATCTAAAAATGGTTAGACATTCTAGTCTTCTCGGATGACGACGAAAAACCTTAGGCCCAGTCTTACTTGCTTCGTTCACTGTTCTGATTCTCTGTGGGACGTAAAAGAACCTACACTGCTGTTCGTGAAGAGTAGGGGTCGCAGACCCGGGTGGTTTGGTGCAACATTTCATGGGCTGGGTGGGTAATGAAGGGGTTGATATCAATTGGGACGTTAGTCCTGTTTCATCCCCTGTCTCCGCGTTGAGACACCATGAGAGTTTTTAATTTTTTTTAGTGAAATGTAGCTGCCTTCCGATATTATCTTCTTCCCAAACGTTTCTTATGCCCCTTATAAGTCCCCCCGCACTCTCGTATTTAAGTCGACCCTGAATACGACCCCCTTACCCACTCCTCCCCCTTAAAAGTATATAATGTATATTAAAGTGGATTTTCATGTAACTATATTCTAATGCAGCGGCATCCCTGATACAAAAATTAACTTTTTATCTCTTTCCGTAGGTGTCAGCACTTTTTTTTGGGTGGGGGGGGGGGGGGGGGGTTGGGGCGCCCCGGGTTTTTTTGGGGTTTTTTTTTTTTCCTTTTCTTAATATACGGGGTTTTTTCTTTTTGTGGGGGAAAAATTTTCAAACAATTTATGCCTTTTTTTTTTGGTTATCCTAAACATTCCTTTTTCTTTTCATTTTCACCTTTTCTTTTTTTCTTCACGCCCTAAACCCCCCCCCACCTCTCTTTTTTTAAACCCGCCCAAAAACCCCCCCCCCCCCCCCCCCCCCCCCCAAAAAAAAAATTTTATTTAAAAAAAAATTTTTTTTTTTTTTTTTTTTTTTTAGGGGGCCGCCCCCTCGAAAAAAAAAATTTTTTTTTTTTTTTTTTGTTGTGTGTGGACTTTTTTTTTGGGGGGGGGGGGGGGGGAGTTGGGGCTCGCAATTAAAGTGCGCTATAAAATGTCTGCTACGATTAAAGTATCGCCTATCACAACGGGTTTAAATTAGAGAAGTCAAATGGTTTTTTCCTGACCTTGAATCTAACATCCACTTATATTTCCTTTCAGTTCTTCTCTCCATTTGGGTTTTTTTTTTTATATCAGTGTTAGGTGGTAGTTTTTGCAGTAACAGAAAGGCACTAAAACATGAAAATTATCATTCCGCGACGCTGATGTTTTCCTGAATAAATAATTATTTTTTTTTTTTTTTTTCTTGGGTGTGGTGTTTTTTGTGGGGGGGGGGGGGGGGGGGAGTTGGGGCTCGCTCGGATTTTCCTGAGCTTTTCTTTTGTCCTGTACTTAAATATCAGGCTTTTTCAGATTTTGAAGGAAGAAAGTTTTCAAACATGATCTGCTTATATATTAGGCATACCCTAAACTTCATCTTACTTTGAATTTCAGCTAATTTCTTTATCCACTGATTCAAGTGACATATGTCTTAGTTCAATCATGTCTGTATTCCACGCAAGACTAAACGACAAATTTTAGAGTTGGTTAACTGTGTCATGGGAAGAGTATGCATGAGCGGGGTCACAATTTTGTGATTTCAATAAGCAGATCTTTACAAGACACTTTCTAAAAATGTAACACTTTACCACGTTGGAGCTGAGTTCAGAAGAGAGTTTGTGCACGTTACCAACTCTTTGGTTTGCAGTTTTACTCAGATCGTACAATAAAATACACTATTCGTTTCTCTTTCCACAAACATGGTTTCTCTTAAGTTATCCTAGCATCTTATTTTAACAGCCATTAAAAGAAGTTAAATTGAAAAGTATATCTGCAGTGTTAAAGTTCTTAATTGATAAGGCGCTTAATCTGACACGCGGTTTATTTGCCTCCCTGATCAACGTGCTCATTTTCCTGGTCGAGGAAATGGCAATGGCGGTGACTGATCTTCTTCATTGTGAACTGGTTTAAAGTTGAATTTCCTGAAAAGTCTAAATTGAAAAAAAAAAAAGAAAGAAGAGACATGATATATCACACCTCAGTTTCCCAAGTAAACGGAAAAAAAAATACCTCATGCTGTTTTACATAAAACCGATTCGATGGGAGCCTGTGCCGCAGACAAAACTAAACTGTGGTTTATGTCCGTTTACGAAACAGCGCCGAAATCCTTGTTCTTGTTGCCCACCTGCGTATCCAGGATTTGAGTACACGCCATGATTGGCTGGGTTGAAAAAGCCATTGTCGATTTGCCAATCAAGATGAAAGGAAATTCGAAACGTACTTCCGGTAATTCGTTGAGTCCGTTGGGGCCACAGAACAAGAATATCGGCGCTGCTTAGCAGACGTTACTAATCGAGGTTAAATTTCATCTGCGACGCAGGCTAATTCGATGGCAAAATGATAAAAAAGTCAACAAATGGATGAGGAACTAATAAAATTAAGGATACATTTTAAAAGGGTTGACCATTTCATTTAATTTTCTATCGCATTGGTGGCGGGATAATCCTGCTGCCCCTATATCGTACGTTTCAGCCTTCTTCCACCAATTCGACTTCGATTCATCGGTTTGTTGCTTTGGTTTGCATTAAGAATTTCACATTTTAGAAAAGTTTAAAGGGGTTATGTGTGTGTAAACGAGTTATATACTCAGGAATTCTAAGAACCAAAATAAAAGAATTTGTAATAGCAATAGACATTTGTTTCTATATTAATTCGCCGGGTAGTGTTTTGATACAGACTTGTACTAAAATCAGCCAGACCAAACCGAAGAGCCAGACTTGTCGTCTGCCGAAGAGCTGAAATAGCTGGATGACCTCATTGTTCTTTGTTTATGCTTCGTAAATTGTTTTCATTAGCATCATTTAAAAAGGCCTTTAAAATTGGGTTGGGCATTCATTGACGCGTTGGCAAGGAGATTGTGAACGCCACGTGCTTTGCAAAAAATAAGTTCAATGAAAGGTTTGACATTTAATGCACTGGAACATCACTTTGAAGCAAAATTGAATGTAAAATGTTGCGTTAGGGCAACGAATAACCAACTTAATTTTCCAAGGTTAAGTAAGAGCAGTCTGACAGGGTCTTGGCATGTTACCTTAGCGGTATCAAGACAAGCTAAAAAAGATAACGCCGGGTCCCTACATAAAAACGCAAACAACGTCATAGGGAGCGGAATACGGTTTGGCGTGCACCAAAATATATTTTGTTTCAAAAGTTGATATCCTAAAAATTTTTTCGATAATCACGACTGGCGATCATTTTTCTAACTGAAATCTTACATATTAAAAAAAAAAGAAAATCAGTTTTTACCTTTTTTTTTCACCGACTGCTGGCTTGTTCAACAGGTGTCTAGGATCGTTATAGCTCGGTTCCTCTAACTGAGATGACCAACTGTGTCTGGAGATTGGTGCTTTGATTCTTCTTAACTCCACAACTTGAAAAGCAGTAACCAGAAAAAGGCAAAGAAAAGCAAAGACAGCCATATTCTTCATTGTAAAAATCTTTTGTTTCAAGCTGTCCTTCTGTCGCCAAGAGTCGTCTTGGCTTGGTACTGTCTAACCGTAGTGCCACAGCAACGTTTCGAAATGACCGTGACTTCTTATGCCTTATTTATATTCTAAGACGCAATATACTTAAATGCACACTTGACAGACAATAAGATCAAAACCACAGATCTTACTAGAATTATGCTAAACAAAACGACTATGCACCTGGAAAAAACTCTTCATGTTTTCTAGACCGTTGGTTTTGCGAACGGTTTTGTTGGTTTTGAGTCACGAACGACTAAGCAGTAGTTATATAATAATTTGCAGGCGGCTTATTGTATGAAAAAGCTGAGTCAGGCCCATAGGCGATTTAAAATCCGGAGACCAAGTTCTATAATTGATACGATAGACAAAAAAGGTTTAAAAAAAGCAAGTGACGCGAAGGAGAACCACGAAAAACAACTTAGTTGCACATGCCCTGTGGCTGAAATTAACAAAGACGAAAGCACGTTGTATACTTTAAAATAACCCGGCGTCCCAAATTAGTTAATGATTCAATTTACCTTTTATCCGAAGGCCATAAGACTTTGAATAATGGATAAAAAGTGAGCAAGCTTGGATAACTTAGTAAACTGAACGAGTCGTTTGAATCACCTGAAGCCGTCAATGCTTAATCGAGTAAATCGATTCGGACAATATAGAGGTATCCGCATGGTCTACTTGCACGTTTTTAGAGATGAAATAACAGTTTTGGTGCAGACATCAGTGTTTTCGGTGATGATTAAAATAACTGATAATATGTTAACTGTCTATGTCTACTTTTTGGCGCGAGTGCTCAATGGGTGCTGGAGCATAACCCATAATTGCCCGAGAACAATGAAACTCAGTGAAACCGTTATCTAGGGTTATGTAAAACAAAACTGGGAAACGTTTAAGCGCTTTTAAATCCTTAGAACTAACTTTTTCTTCATTAGTCTCTAAAACTATCAGACTTTCCTGCTGATCGTTAATTGATACCTAGAATACTCCTCGCCTCTTTTGTCAAGTGTAGAAAATATGGCTTTATTCGATGATGAATAAAGAAAAACATTAGAGGGCAGTTTAGTTTTGCGGTTGGAACGGGTGTAACTAACGAAACAAAGTTATTTTATTTCATGGTGAAAATTTGGCTTTTACTTTCTAGAAACTGTAAATAACGCCCTTAGACGTTACAAATATGATCAGGCGTCAGAAATATTTGAGGTCAAATTGTTTAAAACTGGGTGTCAACAAATCTTTTGTGATCACGATTCAAAGAGAATACCCTGTATCTCACAACTGCCGTTTCTAGTGAAGCAGCGAATATTCTACAAAAGCGTGTGTGAATTTTAGATAACGTTTTTCGTCACTTTATAATCAGATGAGAATTACATTTTAAGTTGAATTTGTACCGAAGAGTTACTTCACAAAAAGAACATAAAAAGAAAGAAATAACCCTTTGTTGCAGGTTCGTAAGCGGCAAAATTGGTTCTTTACAAGTTTCCATGAAATGTTTCAGTGTGGGACGCAGAAAAAATTACTTATACTTTTCACAAATAAAAGGTAAGGCATTTTGAAAGGATCAATACCTTGCAGTATCGTTCGTTGCTCAGAAATGGCATGTATTACGTTTTTCAAAGTCCTAAAACTTTTACGGTGGAAAGAAACCGGGCCTGGACCAATTGTTCGAAGGGCGGATTAGCGCAATGCTACCGAGGGTAAAACTTTAATCTGGGTTTCTTTTTCTTTAGTTCAAAAGCATTTTTCAGGTAATTTTGGTTATCCTTTTTAGAGCATACAATCATCAAACTGTAGACAGAAAGAATTAAACAGATTTTGCTTTTAAGCTTTCATATCTGAATTCACATTTAGCCCTAACCTTGGGTTATCTTAACCCAGCTTTGAACAACCCAGCACAGGTAACAAATTGAAAAGTTCAAATCAATACTAAGGAATATTTTCCAAAGATTGTTCGAAAATTGGTGAGAGTAACTACATGTAAGCTCAATTTTTCGTCTTCAACGGACAAAAGAATCCACACTATGCATCATGGGTAATTATCACAATGCATCATGGGTAATTATGACCTTTCCGCAACTTCTCTTCTTTTACCAAATTGGTAAAACGTAGGCAAATGATATGTGACGACACACTGGCCGAGTCAATTTTTTGACATTTCTGAAGAAATTTACAATCGTTTTTTCAATTTATTAGACTGGAGAAGTCTCGAATGCAGGCTATAAAAGATAGGTTTCAACTATGCTTTAATTTTTTTTTAACTTGAACACATTTTCAAATTATGTTTTGTCATTTACTAACCGTCGATATGACAGGTTAAGCTAAAGCTAAAAATAATATTCCAGTAAGACCTTTGTATCCCTTTTGTTCCTGAGTGCGTTTGTCACTTTTGTCAACTTTCCACATCTCTGAAGATAACTCATTTTAATTTTATTATTTTAACAGTAAGTTAAGGGGGCGAAGAGTCAATTGAATGTTTTCTGTGTTCTGTACGTTTTATTACTATTACATTTTCAATAAAATCTTAGTTAAAAGATTTTCTTTTTAATTTATTATCTCCACGTGAAAGGATAGTCTTTCAAATTAATCAAATATACGATTTGTATATGTAGGAACAATTTGATACTCATTCATTAAAATAAGAACATTTTTTTATGTTTTCGTTTTTTCTTTTATTTTGTTTCCCATAATATATATTTCTACAAAATTTTAAATCAGGGATGATTTGTTAACAATGTTGATTTTCTACAGGAAGCACTTTTTTTGCGTTATTCAATATTCGACTTGTATCTGCTTTATTTCTATTTTCATTGTGAATAATTAGATTTCTGAATGAGCCTGTGTCAAAAAAATTTACACGACTGCATAAGTCCAAACAGATGGCATAAATATTTAACTTCAGCTCCGCGAGGAAAAGTCACAATAACAAATATCACTTAACGACGCGGAAAGGGAACCAAACAGGGCGATAAAATACTGTTTGCACGTATCACAGATATTCTGTTCAGAGATTCATTATTCTCGATATCAATACTGGGAAAAAATAGTGTGGTGACACGATGCCATAAAAACATCCTTTGTGATAATTACAAGTATTGTCTAACAACGCAGTCAACTTATATCTTTGATTATTTTATCAGTTTAATTGACTTTTCCTTGCGGCAATTTTCTTCGTAATCGTGTGAAAAAGGATTCATGAATTAAATCTACAACGCTTTGTTGAGTAACTTAGCGTTTTAAAAGATAAGAAGCCACACGCTCTTAAAGTGCTGATAAAACTAATGGCTTTAATGAAACAATTAAATTTCGTTTTGTCTTTAAGTTTTCACGTAAATTAGACGTGCTGAAGTTTGAAGGTATTGTAAATCTTCAAATTTTCTGGGTTGTTCGGTTGAATAATTGCTTAATCTTAGGATTTGAAAAGTTAATAAATACAGTACTGAGTCAGATTTCGTTTACTTTCGTTCATGTTTCAAACTTTAACAATTATGTATCTAATTCACATTCGAAGTCAAGGAGAAGACTAAAAAAATTAATGTATGGAACAGGGTTCATAGTGAAATGTAATTGCGTTCAATTTAGTAGTAAGCCTTGTTACTTTAGAAGTTCCCTTAACAAGTTTTATTACCATTAAACACTTAGTTCAATAATAATATTCCACTCCACAGTCAAACATAAACCATTGGTAATGGATTTGATCTTATGGAAATTTGATTTGTTAAGCACAGCGTGTTCAAAAGATATATTTAATACTAACATTAAATTAAACACGCGAACATGCTACAAAAAGATCTCTTCGTTGCAAAACGTACTGTGACCTTTGTTTAGGACGTTTACCCCAAGAAATTTTAATCACAATTGAGCTCACTTTGATGTTAATCTTCATAATCAAGTTCGTTTTCAATTTCCTCTCTTTAGCGAAATAAGTCACAAATCAGTTGCCTACAGTTCATTAACATCATGCAATCTGTGACGGGGCAGCCAATCACATTGAAGCAAAGAAATCAAGCCTTGCTAATCACAGAAGGAGTTCAGGTGTTGTGTTTAATTACTGTAACATTTGCTCTCCCTGATTGATTGAAATAAATTTGATAGCCAGTTCATACAGCTCTCAAACCCGTCAAAGCGCACACAAGGTGAAGAGATATAAGCATTCACCCAACAATAGTTCCGCAATTACTCGTCAAGGACAAGAAAGACGACGAAGCCGGTGTATTGATCCAACGATAAAGCACATCATGCCAAAATCATTTCTAGTTCGAATGCGTAGAGGACGTACCACAGAAGCAGCAACCCACCGGGAGATTCATAGTAAGCAAACGATTTTTTTTTATGCATTTTACTAAGTACCAAAAACAACTTTTATACATCATCTATAAGTACGCTTTGAATTAAAATTAACGAATTTTTCTTGTTTTGGGGCGTAGTTAAAGGAGTTTTAATTCGTAACATTGAGGAGCATAGTCTGAGTGCAGTCATTAATTGCAAAATTTTCTTGTGAAAAGACAACGAGCGAAGAAAAAAGGAATGATTTTGTGATAAATGGTTTTGTGATTTATGTCGCACGATACAACAAGCTATGTCTGGCCTTGTGGATTTTTTATAGTTTAAGTATATGAGAAAGAAAAAAACTGTAACATACTAGGTGTCGTAAGCCGAAAGTTACGCAAAAAAAACAAAAAAAGTTATCAAAATTGCAACGGGTGGAAGAAACGTCCTCAAAGCACTGGAAAAAATATTTATAATTATTTCTATTTTTTCTAGTCTGTGTTAATAATTTATTGCTTCTCTCGAAAAGTTTTTATTTCTTTGAAATTGTCTTTTGTTTGGTTTACACCCGACCGAGGGAACTGAAAAAATTTGATTTCCTGAGAATTATGATTTCCTAAAAAAAATCACAGTTTTTAACGTACACTCTAAAGATCGTTTGTCTTTATCCGGATATGAGATTTTGTTCAATCAAATGAATCAATCCAAGCTTAAGCTAACAAAACAGCAAACAAAGGTGAAAAGTCCTCTTATTTGTACGACAGTGGCTAACTTCATAAAGAAAATTTTGATTTAGTATTTGCTCTTACACCGTTGAAAAAGTTCCGGTACTATTGAAGATTTTAATCGGCAGGAGGGCAATATAAGCCGATATTTACCTGTCAGGTTGACACGAGCTTAAATTGTAGACTTTTTGCGCTGCCGACCGTGTGAAAACAATTTTTTTTTTTGCATTCTGCTTGGACGAAACTGATTTAAAACGGATTGAGAGACTACAAATCGTTGAATATACTTTTCGAGAAGTTAATCTGCTTAATAAGCTAAGTCCACTGAGTAAATAGCATGTGATTGAAAAGGAAACAAAAGATTTCCTCACCTGCTTCATTCAAGCAGCAACCTAGCATTAATTCAAAAATTTCAATGCTTATTCCCTTTGAAATGTTAAGCTCCACGCTTCGGGACAAAGTATTAGTGAACCAAACACATTTTCACTTGAACTGAGAATCAGAATGCTAGTTGAGGCGTTGTCCTTGAGGACAGCTGATTCCAGCTTGACCTGTGTAATGCGATCCTTTGATCAATAAAAAATAAAACACTACTGAATCGAGAGCAAGGCGCGTCAACATTAACAACAACCATGATTGAATTATAAAAAAAATCCGACTTTGTACAAAGGTTTTTTTGAAACATAACGTAGGCAAGAGGATATATTTTCATAGCAAAAAAGAGTTAGCAGATTCTCCAACTAGAAAGCACTTTTTTTAAACGGTGATAAAGCTTCACTTAATGCCGTTTGATTGCAAACAGAGAGGCCTCGTGTAATGTACAGAATTTTTACCTGTAAATCTCGGATCCAGCCGTTTGCTTAAGGCTGGCCAGATTTGATCTTTCAGAAAAAATCTGAATATTGAACCTTTCAAACCTTCACCGGAATTAAGACCAACCCCTGCCATGCCTGCCTAGACTAATTTCGTATTTTCTGAACTCACAGCTCTAGTCCTTTATCAGACGAACGACAGTGAGGACATTTTGAAAACGATCAGCTTTTTAACTTGTTTAAAAAGAATTAAGAGTAAAAATGAATATAAAAAGGCTATTAGCATGATAACTAAAACTGTTTGGCCCGTGTGAAAAGTAGTTGCCTTTAAGCGAATCTGTCTAAGCAACAACAGTTGCATATTTTTTTTTCAGGCTGTTTATATGATAAGTTGTAAGTTGTTGCCGGACATCATCTGTCCTAGTTGTGAAGATCAAAGTGATAAGAAAGTTTTGAACTGGACTTTCTTTACGTACAATATTCTATTTAAACCAAATACGTGAATATCTTGCGCGAGAACTGGAACGTCTGAAGTAGTTCTTAAACTACCCTGCAGCACCAGGCCCAGGTCAGAAAAGTTAATCTACCTCAAAAATAATGATCCAGTAACTGGACAAACTATTTTTTTAAAAAACTGGACAAACTTTAGCATAACTATTCTACTCCTGTGAAAATGAAATGGTAAGCATGTCACGAGCACGGGACAAAGAAAAAATCTGAGTACGCGACAGGATTCGAACCTATGACCTCCCAAACACAGGGCGGGGGCGCTATCCACTTGAGCTGGCTCCCTCGCACAAAGCAATGATATAATGTGATTGATACAACCCTAAGTACGTGCTATAATAATGCCATTTTCTCCGGTTATTGGTTAAGGAATCGCTTGCCTGCGGATAAATTTTGAAAAACTAAGAGAGTAGTTGAGCTGCAATACTTGAAGACTTAGTGCAGTTATTGAGCCTCTTAAGTATAGAGAAGTCGTTGTTAACGTTTCCTACCTTCATTATTCCCATTTTACATTCACATTTTGTTATCCTCACAGCAGCTTTGCAGTTATAAAGATAGTACGAAACGGAAGCATATAAGCAGCTTGTCTACAAACAATCTTAACTCTTAGTGCAAATATTACTAGAAATATTACCTCGTTTGTTGACATAAAACATGCACAGATTATCCAAACGATGAAAAAAAATCAATCATACCTGCAACATTAGTTTTCACATAAAGCTGATCTCAATTTCTTTTCTTAGATACAAAGCTTCAAGAAAGCAAAGACTTTCCCTTCAGTTTAGCAACAGGAAAAGGTTTCTTGGCAGAGCACAATGATTCAAAACTGTTGGACTTTTCCCGTGTTAAAGGCAAGGAGCTTTCTGGACCTAAACTGTCCATAGATGTCAGGAAAATCACGTTCAATCCGGAAGGTGCGAAAATTGATGAAGCTGGAAATTTGCAAAGTGTAGTTAGTCAGCGGTCCTCCAACAGCCAGGAGACGTTTACATGCAACACGTGTCAGAAACTATTTTGCACACCGCATGGTCTGGAGGTACACGTACGACGTACACACGCCGGAAGCCGTCCGTACGGATGTGTAACGTGCGGTAAAACCTTCAGTCATTACGTCAGCCTTGCGCAGCACCGAAAAACCCACTCTTCTGTAAAGATATTCGAATGCCAAACTTGCGGAAAGCATTTTAAACGCTCGTCAACTCTATCCACGCACATGTTGATTCATGCTGACATCAGACCCTTCTCGTGTGAATACTGTGCGAAAAGATTTCATCAGAAGTCAGACATGAAGAAGCACATGCTTGTTCATACTGGCGAAAAACCGCACAAATGTCGACATTGCGGCAAGTGCTTCAGTCAGTCTTCAAACCTTATTACACACAGCCGCAAACATCTTGGATTTAAGCCGTTTGCCTGTCAGAAGTGCGGAAGAGCGTTTTATCGCAAAGTGGACTTAAGAAGGCACAGTCATGTCCATCGGGGTGCTTTTTATAGCAACAATGACTTTGCAAACTTATGTTTTGACCAGAAGTTCTTTTTTCCTGTGCAGCCAAATCAGTGACTTCTCAGAGCTTGATGTTACCTGAGCCACGTCTAGATTGTGTCTTCTGAACATGAAAGGAAATGGAAAAGATATGAAATAACTGTTGAGATAGCAAATATCAGTGCAATATCCATTTTGGGTGTGGAGCGAAGCGTGCCGCACGAGTTTCCCCCTCGTGCCTCTAGCGCTTAACTTCTCCGGGTCTCCCTCAAATGGAGGGCTTACACGCAGGCTAGCAAATTGCATCCTTGTTGTACAATGTAATTACATAGGTGTTATACGACTTCACTATATGTCAGCCTTGACAAGTGTCGGGGGAACGCCTGATTCTGGACCGAATTAAACCAGTTTTCACGAACGGAATCATTTAATTGGACCCATAACATCGTAATGAATAATCAGGGTGCCTCTAAACTCTGAAGACAAATTGGACTTAGATATCCGAACGAACATTACAATTAGGCATGATAGACTTATTTTCGAGCAGAACGGTGATCATTGACATCACTACACTATTATTCGAAAATTTTGGGTGTGGCAATCAAGGGGTTCTTCCATTTCTAAACAAGCTGAGTTAAACTATGGCCACGCTTGAGCTACGGTTCCTAAGTTAATAGTAGAAGAGAATTTGTATTTAAAAAACCAGATCTGGAGTTAGGTTAATTTCTATCCCGCAAAGAGGTTGCATATGCTTGAAGATAATGGACTGAGACTACATGAAATGCGTTACTTGCTTAAGATGTCTTAACGTGTACTATATTTGAATAATGGACAATCCCACCTTAAGGTGAATCATGGAAACAAGAAATAAAAAACTGTAAAAAACTATTTCTGATTGCTCACACCTCCCTGTTCTCCTCATCTTATGATAACATCAGTTTCCTTGGGGGTTTTCTTTTTGCTCTGTGAATGTACTAGTTGTCAAGGCCATTGTATTTAGTACAGGCCTTGGTTGTTTTATTTCCTGTTACTGCTTTCCTGGGCTTTCCATCTCACCGAGCCAATTATAGCAGCAACTGAATTTCCTAATTCCATTTGGCCAAACTGTATGTCATGTTGGCTTTCAAATTCTCCTTGTTAATTTTGCAGTGATCTTGGCCGCTGCATACTTGTATCGCTCGCCAATTAATTTCTCCTGGATTTCTGAGGGTGAATTAAGGCAAGCAGTTTTCAATTAACATCAACTGAAGTTAAGTTAAATCTTTTTGTTTACAGTTAGTACCACTCTTTTAGTTTTCCCAATATGCAAATCAACATTGAGTTTATGCTATTCAACATTAACAAGAAAGAAAACATCTCAAGAGTTTATTTAGATTTAGCAGCACTTACAGTAGCTTTTGGCTTTAACTGTCATCGATTGAAGGGGTTTCTCTCTTTTCTTTCGCTTTATTTGGCACTGCTTTTGAACTTGAGAAGGCAAGCCGAGAAAACTAACGAAACTCAGTTGCGTCTGGTCTTCCTTTTAGTTAGCACAAGAAATATGAGAAATAAACTGCCAAGTGAAGATAAACTTACATCAACCTGAAAAGAAAAATGATTATTATATTAAGTGAATTATTAAATTTTGCAATCTCATTGGCAACCATGTTGGAAGAAAGTTAAATAAAATGCATCCATTCAAACTTTGTGACAAAATAACTGTGAAGTCAACCAATTTTAAAATCTTCCTTATTTATGGCAATGTAATAATCTGGCACATGCTATTAAGCTACCCGTATTTATCTCAATATCAGCCCTTTCAACATGAAACGTGATTAGATGAGTGGATATTGGTGTTAGGCAAGAAGAAAGACTGCATTGTGGTCAGAATATTTCGCAACAGGAACTCTACATGGTCTATTTGCAGTACTATATCACCAGTTATCACACACATAGTCCAAGCATAATACCCTTCATATTCTGAAATGTACAACATACATGTATACCACTCCACATGAATGAACATGCACTCAGACGTGTAATACACTTTAGGGGTTGTTAATTTCCGATGGAATGGAGTTGATACTAGCAATCGTTTCGATAATTTTCACTCCAGTATAAGGTAAATCGAGCACACCATAATGAAAGCGATAAACGGTAAAGAGTGGCATGTAACTAACTGAGTGACGGCAGAATTGGATATTTGCACCCAAAGTATATATAGCTGGGAAATGAGATTAAAGAAAAGCAAGAAAAGCTTGAAATCTTGCACGTATTCGCTTCTTATACATAAAAAAACACTTTTTATCAAGAATAAGTTACGTGCACAAAGGCAAGCAAAATATTCACCACCCTACAATACTCTTATTTCAAAACGACCAGTTCTTAGAGCTCACGATTTATTTAAGCGACTTAAGGGAATCATTTAATGCTATAATTTTAGTTAAACCGAATAAAGTTATTAGTGTGTAACTATAAATTACTTAAACAGTAGTTTGCCGGTTTTTGTCACAGTGTTTTCAGACCTTATCAGAGAATTAAAGTGTATGCGCTTCTAATGATAATTTACCAGTTATTGCGCAACGTCTCACAAAGATTAGCTTCTGCAGAGAAGTATCAGAGCTGGTTGGTTCAAGGCAATATGAATAGACAGTTATTCAGAAATGTAGTTTATTGACTCTCTCTAAGCATGAGTGAACTAGATTTTGTTGATCGTGACTTGGTTGAAATGCTAGACTGGGAATCCAATCTCAATATGAAAGGAAGCAGTTTCCTCCCACGATGTACGTGACAACAGCTTATTAGAAAGTGCAAGTGATTGTACGTAACTATTTGATTGAGTAAAGTGCTTTATTCCCCATCTCTTATTCGATAAAATGTCACTAATTTTTTAACAGAAAATGAAACAAGCAAGGTCACTTAACGTTTCGTTTTCATGGCTCTTTGATACCGAGAAAACTAAGTAGACATTTCCTCTATAAACAAAACGGCCTCTCCTGCAATAACAGTAAAAAATTCATAGGCGTTTCCTTAAAGTTGTACCTTTCTAAAAGTTTGCATCAAAAGTATGGATCAAAACCTAATGGCAAAAGTAGACTGATTTAATGCCGGAAAATCACCCGTTGTCACTGCTTGGAATATCCGCGGTTTCACTCTCAATTTTTAGAGTGCCGTTTAATTAATAATTAAAGACGCCATCTTGTTCCATGATTTGCACAACAAAGAGACTCGCGCAAGTCCATATTTATAGTGAAACGAAACAAACAAGCTCTGTTTAGAAATGAATCCAGCGGAAGACGGAAATCAGACACCTTACTACATACTGTTAGGTATCTCCGGGAAATTGGGCGGTAACACAGAAATTCCCGCCAGAATCTGTCCATAAGGTGTCAGTGATATGTCTGCGTGCCCTGCGTTAAGTAAATGGAGACTCATCTTACAAGTCGTCCAAACGCATAGTTATTAAGCAGGTGGGCGCAGATAAAACCACGTAGAATTTTTGGACAATTTGCAAGCTATATGCACCTGTCCGATTTCTGCCAGGTGAGGTTGCAAATCTTAAACGTATCCCTGAATTTTAATTCCCTACAAGCACCAACCATTAATAGCCCATAAACAGGCTCAGTGTTGCCTCGTCTACAAACCTACTATCTGCATCACGCCCGTTACATTCCGAGGAAACCTCTACGGTCATTCTTATTCAGAACGAACACTGCAAGCAAAGAAAGGAGCAAAATCAAAATGCCAAGAGCTTTTCTCGTGCGAACGAAGCCTGCTGTAATTTCCAGCGATGTTTCTCCGCAGGGTGTTGAGACAGGAAAGGAGCAAGGTAAATACAGTACTGAACAGGTTGTGATTTTCTAGGGTTCGGCTTCTTGTAATGATTTGCGCACTTCACAGTTAACTTCTCCTGGTACCTGTTTAAAGTTACGCATCATAGATCTCATTTTCCCTAACTCATCAGAGCAGATTTGGCGCTCTTCTGTGATTAACACGCAAATTTGCTAAAGAGAAAAGAGAATTTTAAATCTTGTCTATTTAATTATGATCCGCAGTTGATTTATTTTGTATATGTTTAGATTCAATAATGTGCCTACTTGGTTTTGTCTGTTGTTTAGAAAAGCAAAACAGTTCTCTGCCCGAAACTGAAACCCCCGGGTTATCGCCGACAAAGACTGATGAAGATGCGATCGCTGCGCAAGAAATTTCTGAAAATGGCTGCGATTCTGATGCTACTTCAAATAGCGAGACAGAATCGGAAGGTAACTTCAACTTATTTTTTTCAGTATATTTTATGAGCTGGTATCTTATTTAGCTGATCTTTTAAAACCCTAAGACAAAATAATTTTAGGGTAGCCTGTTATAAAAGACAATCACAGCGTTTAACTTAAGGCTACTCAACTAAATTCAAACATCTGGGTAATTTACACTAAAGAAATATCTGTAAACGGTTCAAGCTCTATATGACGCGCGATCCATGCTCTAATTTTATCGATTTAGTTTAGGACACGCGAGAATACTTTGGCAAACTCGCCTTTTGATTTTTAGCCCAAAATTTTGTTTACCATTTACCGGTGGCAATCTTCGTTCTTTGTCAAACTGCAACTAGTTGTGTTGAAATGTCTCAAGTTACCTTTTCCAGAACTATTTTTAATTAAATTTTCAACTCCCCACGAAAGTGAAAACTCACAGTTTCCGAAAAGACCATTAGCTGACGCATTAAATCCAAGCTAAAATCACCATTTTCATTTTACTTTCATTGAATTAAAAACTGATTTGCCCGTTTAATAAAATGTTTGAAACGTCATATTTAAATTGGATTCCAACATTGCTCACCCAGCGCGATTTCATATTTAATTAAGATAAACAGAGGCCCGCTAAATGCAACATGTTTGTGAAGAGCTATTATAATCGATTCTTAAGACTGGGATAATAAAGTTTTAACTTTCAATACTCGATGACGATTATCATCGTGGGAACTTCCATTCTAGGAAATAAGGGAAGGGGAAAAAAAGGGCAATACAATTCTGCTAAAAAAGGTTTAAAATAATGGCACCTCCCCTTTGGGGGTAACCTTGGCGTTTTTGGCCTTGGAAAAGAAATTAAAGAAATTTTGAAATAAAACCTGTTAGACGGCTGGAAATGTATCATTTTGAAGATGATTTTAATTAGCAACTTCATCTCAATTGACCACACCTTTTTGAGGCGTTAAAACCCCATTTTCTACTTTTCCCCCTTCCATTCGCTTTTATTTTTCTTCTGGACTTTTGCTGATATCCGTTTTCCTAATCCGCGAGTTTTTCAGTTCAATTAACAAAAACTGACTAACTCTGTGCTTTCCTAAATAAGAATCTGCTGGGTGTCCTATTTTTTAGAACACCCTTCTGCAAAACACCTTAGGCTTCAAACATAAGACTATATTTTGAGTATACAAATCTAAATTCCGCTCTTTTTTTTCTTAATCATGAAATTGGCACACAAACATGTACTACCTTACTGGACGCTTGACAATTTCTTACAGATTCCTTCGATATCTTTACGGTGGCGGAATATATGATAATGACAAGGAACTTAACTTAAATGTTAACCAAACAAAATACACAGAAAAATGGGAGCCTCAAGACGGGAAAACGTAAAAATAACAACAAATTGAGGACCACTCAGTGATGGACGAGTTCCCAAAGCCCACCAGAAATAAATTTATGTCGAGTTAGAAATATTTGCTATTGGTGGTTTCAAAATTTTTCAACTCGAAGTACAAAAACTGGAGTCATTCTTGCTCTAATGGCTGTTTACACTATAAAACGAGGTTTTGAAAGGTAGAACGATAAAAATGGTCAAACTGTTAGCAAATAGTGCTCAATAATAGCTCGCACCATCAATACAGGTCAGTCATTTGACTTGCATTGGCATTAAGTGTGTGTATAAAATGTGAATCTGATTCTATCAACACATCTCCATGCACACAAAAGTACAAGAAAAAGCACTCACACAAAGCAGTGATAGCTTTAGAAGCGCTCCTGTGTAGTAGCCCAAAAGTCTTAAAATGATTCCGAAAAATCCCCTGAGCATTCCACTTGAAAGAGAACATTTCGGACATTGCGTTTCACAACATCTTACAGCAAAAAACGGAATAAATTGGTTTAAATTTTTATTAAATCACAGGGACATTTCTTAGGCTGAAAACATTAGCATGTCACATATACACTAATACTTAAGACCCAAGAAATGATATTTTACATCTCCTAAAATTGAAAGGGTATTTATCAAAAATCCGTGACGTTTTTTGGAGACCTTATGGTTCCTATCCAACTAATGCTTTTTTACCCTTTAATCTAGGACTGAAAATGAGAGCGAAACCTTCTTGTCTTTTAAATAGCAAATACTAAATTTTTAGAGCTCACTGTTTGATTCTTTACAATTTATTGGGCTTTTTTTAGCCTCTAGACCATAGCTGGGGGTGGATTAAATTCACAATGAAAAACCGCATTGCTCTTAGTTACTAGAATTTAGTAAGGGAAACTTAAATTCTTGGCAAACAACCCCTTACCGCCATTATATGCTACGCGTTTTTTTTGCATTTGCCAATATATCTATTGGCTTCATTAGTTTAGAAAATAACTTTACTAATGGTCAGATACGTAACAACAAAAGATTGCTAGCTCTGTATATATTCCAAAAAATTGCTAAAAAAAACATTTAGTGGCTGCAGTGGTTTATTTTAGTGGATGTTTTGTTAGTAACTCTCTCCACAATTCTATCTGTACTGATTTTCAAAGCGATATTTCGTACCTTCTTGATTGAAACAATCAATTTAAATTGCAGATTTTTCTCTTTTTTCTCATTCCTTCCTTTTCTCAATTTCAGAGCAATCACATTCTTGACTTATCAAGTCCCGAAGTAAACATCTGAAGGCGTTAAATTCACGATTTATCTTTTGTTCTTTTTTTCAGCGCAATGTTTTCTTCGTGCGGCGGCGTTTTCTTTGTACCAAGCGTGCTTTATAGATAAACTGGCTCGTTGCCACCATTGTATACCACGCTGTTTTACCAATTCAGTTACAGATTTAGTGTTATATTTCTAAAGCTATGCCTCTCTAGGAGGCATTTCTCAACAAACTTGATTTTTGTCCTTAATAACGTGACCTTGCTCTGACAAGAACTTGGAAGCAGTCTTTTACATAATTGCCAGTAAGTCGGATAAACCTCCTGATTTTTATTAAATCTGGCAGAACTGAAAAAAAACTCATCTTTATAGAAAATTTATGACGGCTCCTGTCTTTATTGAATATATAATATTAAGCAGGATTGTTGGTGATGTTTTTCAAAAACTAAACGTGATTATGAAAGTCTACAAAGAGTTACTTTTCCTGGGAAATTTTAAAACAAGTCTGCCGTTCTAACCTGCCGAATTGGGCTGATAATGTAATGGCTTTCAATATAAGGCTTCTTTAATGTCACGCCTACGACACAAAAACTACAATAAATAGATTGATAACTTTCAGCGTAATTAGGCATCGATGGAAAAGAAAAAAGTTCATCGGAATTTTAATGTCAAAAGAACTTGAATCGTGATGAAATGCTACTTTGAGCTAACCTGAAACTCTCTGTGCTGAGAGATTTTCCGGAGATTTTCACGATTTGCTGAACACATTTTAAATTTGCAAACAAACATCATAGGACACTTTTTTAATTCATTTTAGCACCTGTTCTCGTTTTAACTGTGTACATGCTTAAATGCATCCGGTAAAAGACTCAAAATCTAAAAAGGCACTTTGTTGCCAATTTTTAGTTTAAAATTTATTGTGTTGGCAGGTTACAGTTCTTTTATTTTAATGATTTTTATTTTATAGTTTCTCAATAGTACCTATACGAAACCACACTGATTTCGGCTCCTGACTGCACGAAAAGAGAATTATTAACTTGAAACCTGTCGGCTCTGTTTGTTTAGAAATCATCCCGAACATACCTAAGTTTTACGTTTAATTAACAGCTTCGAACTTCATCACGGTTCAAGTGGGTCTTCACAGTCAGCAGGCAATTGAACGAAAGTATTACAAGACAAAAAAAAAACTAAATTTCTGCTTTGAGTCAGCATGTTGCTTCTTAAAAATACTCTGATTCTCTAGTTAAATTAAATTTATAATTAAACATTCTAATAAAATATTTTGTACTCGTGAAAAATTAGACTCAGATCTTATACATAAAATCTCGAGAAGAGTTCAAAGAACTTCAATAAATGAAATGTTTTTTAAGAATTGCAAATCTCCACCTGGTTTACAGATGGCTGTTAGAACCGAAACAGTTAACCGAGAGATCTGTGTGGAATTGCCATCAAAGACGTGATGTTTTTAGCACTTGGTTTTAGAAATGCGCCTGGAAAGTTTTCCCTGAGTGTATTATACCAAAATACAATTGAATGAATGAGGACTGGCATAGTCATCTTAATTGTCAGGAGGCGTGGAAGCTTTTTTAACGCAACATTTCTCAGGGCAAAACTACTTTGAATGAAAAGAAATGTACCAAAAACTTCTTAAAGCTGAAAACTGATAGAATTTGGAAAAGAAACGTTTCCAAATCTTAAAACTGTTAATTACATTTATTTTACGGAGAAGGGCCGAAAATTGGGAAAGATTTTTCATCATATAGACTCCATCAGCCCTTATCAGTTATTTGTCATGGGTAACCATCTAGGTTTCTCGTTATCTGGATTTCGGAAGACCAAGGCCACGCATATATCCTCGTGGATTTCTAAATTGCTTGCCAAGTACACAGACTGAATTATGTGGATAATAATCATACATTGGTTTAAGGAGAGCCAGGTAATTTTGCCTTCATCATTGGGACTATGTACATGAGGCAAAAAAATAAACCGATTTCTTTGGCAAAACGCGCAAATTTGGGAAAGTTGTAGATCTGCCAAGTTTACAACACCCTAGAAATGAGTGAACAACTCCGGCAATATTGCTTCCTCATTGAGATTTTCAAGAGATCGTGCTAATGAGTAGCACGCCGATTTTAAGTAACGGATAATGCTTTTCAAATGGTAAACCCGATGAAACTGAGCCCAATACCGAAGCAGAAGCTACTAATGGATACACCGGCCCTACAAGCAAATACTTTTGCAAGTAAAGTTTCACATTCACATTCTCGATGAATAGCTATTCTCAAGCCTTTAAAACAACAACGGACTGTTAAACGCTTTTGTCCTACCCAATCACGTGAAAGTATATTTGCGTAACATCTCTGTTAAATCTATGTAACCACACCCTAGGTTTCTATTGTTTTGTCAAATAGAACATAACTGCGTTATTTTAGTTCAATCTTGTATAGCTCAACGATGCCGAAATCATTTCTCATAAAGCCGTGCGTATCGTCAATTAAGTTAGAAATCGATGGTGGACATGGGAAGAAAAAAATCGGTACGTTTAAATATGTTTTGCTCTTACAATTCAAATATTTATGATCGAGAAGAGCACTTAAAACTTACTCTAGTGGATAAAATCCAAGCAAAGCCTAAATGAAAATATTTACATTAGATTTAGTACAAGAATATCACCGAAAAAGAGATCTCTCTGCTAATAACGTATTCAAGTTTATCACTGCAATAAGAAAGATTTCTGGGAAGATTCACTAGACAGTCGCATCTTCACTTACTTTACCAACTCTTTTAAAGGCATTTTAACTCTGGTGCTTTATTTCAAATATTGATTCAGCTCAACAGAGCCATTTTATATCAGAACGATTTAAAAGAAGACAGGAGAATTTTAGACGAATTCGCAAGTATTCGAAAAAGCTATGCATGCTTAACTTACCAATCATCATCTTTTGAAACACTGCAAAGTCATTTTATGCAAAGTTCAAATTAGAGAATTACTATGGCAATCCAGGTGGTCGATTGACTTGATTTTCATATGGACTTCAGAGTTTCTCCAGGTGTAAAATTTTTTATTCAATTATCCTCGTTTTGCTACATTTTATGAAAGGAAAGGTTGAGTACGTAATTTACGACAACAGGTTTTCTCTAAAGAATAATTAAACTTACCAGCATTATTAATTCTAAAAACTGATGGGACGGAGATTAAAATGTGTTTAGTTTCTATTGTTGTGAATTTGAAAATGGAGAATTTTATTCCAGATGTAGGCAGCTCTACAGGATTGGAAACAAAGTTTTGGATAGGCAAGCCAATTGTTTTCCTGGGGTTGACGCAAGATTGCCCAGTCTGAGCCGTTCAATAAAAGAACGATACTGACGTACAAAAATTGCTATATAGATAGGTATACAGTCAACATTTCCGTCCAATTAACAACAGTGGAAAAGAAACTTCTAAACGCAAAAGAGCTGTTAATTTTAATTTGCTTTTACTTATTTCGTCTAGTATCTGTGTTATCCGTCTTCGAACTATAGAATACACTCTGAGGACTCGTAAAGGAAGCTATCTAAATCACAATTATTATCCACAACCTTGGTGGTTAGGTTATTGAAGACGTGTTCATCATATTTCAGTAAATGTTTCTGCCAGGAATAAAAGCTTGGAATTATTACATACCTTTTTGACGAGCATATCGATCCTTTTGACGCCAAACAAGGCCTTTTAAATCCAACTGATGATTTCATTTTGAAAAACGAGTGAAGGCTCGATTTAAACTTGAAACATATACTTATTGTATTCATTTGTCCGCGCCGAGGTAAATCATTCGGCGATAGTTTTCACCTGTAATTTAGACTGAGTTTGAACACCAGAAATCTGAAATGAATCTTACAATTATTAGTTTCGTATCCGTCAGCATCGCTGACAGAATTCTTTTCAAAGATAAGTGGTACCTGTTAATGGGGGCGAACCAGAGTGTTGAGGGAACGGGTGAACGAATACATGAATTCCTGACAAATACTGAGGCGTTATATTACAGATATATAATTTTTAAGGTTTAGTGAGAGTTTTGAAAGAACGGATGAACGAATACATGTCCTCCTAACAAATACAGGAGTTATATTACAGATATGCATATATTGTTTAAGGTTTAGTGGTTAAGAAGTAAAAAAATACGGCAAAGAAAAGATACCAGATTTTGACTGACTTCGCTGTAAAATTCTAATTATTATCAGATTTCCTTTAGCTAATAGTTATCTTCTGGGAGTTGGACGTAGTATTCAGTTGAAGATGACTTTTGAAAAGGGTTTTGAGTTTATTTCCTGTTTTTCACTGCGCAATTCATCTTTTGTGGGATACCTCATACATTTTGGAAGAAGGAGAATTCTAACTCCAGAAAACTCAGATAAAATTCTGAACTCTAGGAGAGAATCGAACTCACAACCATGCGAGTTCTACTGATGCTCCAAGTACTGAGCTAGTGGAGGCTCTAAGGCGAGCAGAGTCGAAATTTGATTATAAATAACAACCCGACACCAGTCATACTTCAAAATGGCGTCAATTAGTACTAATCACGCATGCGTTACTTGTTCCAGCCTTCAGAGCCTGGATTCAAAACATAAACAAAACTCGTGCGTGACTCCAGTGCACCAAAGTTCTCGTGTCGGAATACTTCAAAAGGATTAAAGTTAACGCGATTCAAACTATCTTGCTTCATTTCCTTATAATGCCAAAAACCATATATTACAATGACGCATTGTTTTTCTCCTGTACTCTGACAATTGCTCGTAAATATCAATGATAACCGGCCTTAAAAATATTTCGAACCTGCAACGATTTTCTGTAATAAATACAGAGCCTCAAATGCTGACATAACAATGGCAATTGATCAATCATTTTTTGAGTGTGAGTCTCAATAACATGTAGTTTATGCTGTGGTCTATTCTCTAAAGAAATCTTTGGACAAAGTTTTTACACTTAATGACTTATCCACCTCAGACTTTAAATCAAATGCAGTCTTACGATTTTAACAAGATTCGGCATCTTATCCTAATAGACCTTAAATTTTATTTTAATGCAGTCGGCCCCAAAATGAGAAAAGAATTATCGTTTTAGTTAAATATACACCGCTAGAAAAATCAGTAACGAAGACTGGTCGTGGGGGACTGAACTGCATCTATGCCGTTCGGTATCTATGAGCTAGCAAGAACAAGAGCTGCGTCAAATTAGCTTCAGACGCATGTTCAAGTTTTATCCCAGAAACCGGTATGTTAAAGCTACACCCTGTGACTTCAAGGTAGACGACTGCGTGCGTGATCCAGGTTATTAAAACTTTGTATAGCGCTTTCCACTGGATAAATTACCATCCTGCGGAAAATTATTAGAGGAGCAAATTGTTTTATCCACTGTTTTTTTGTCTGAGTGGGTGGCACTATCCGACATTTCAACAACCGGAGCTTGGTGATAAGACAATCTTTGAATTGGCGGGTAACAAGTCGCGTTTTGGATCACTTCGTTGCTCCGATTTCATCTCCCCGGCCTCCGGGCTCAAAAACTAACATATTCAATTCAATCCGGGATGTTAGAGGAAGAACCACTAAATCGACAACTAAATCGTTTTTACTTATCGAATTGTCATTTATTCAATTATTCTAGATCTCTAATTTTAAAGTCTGAATGTTTCTCCTTTACTGTAGATGAAAGTGATAGCAATGAACATGGGCAGGATTTGGAGCAAAACAACGTCGCCAACTATGAGTCGTTTACAGCAACAGACATAAAGAAAGCATCACAAGATAGATGGCCTTTTGCTACAACTGGTATGATTTCTTGCATAATAATAAAAAGATGGTAAAGGTTTAACCTTGGAAGGCGAACGATCTATTATAAATTAATGATAAAAATAATTCCGTTCTTCTGACCCTCGGCAGTATGAATATCACTAATGCTAGTGGGCCCGAGCCAGTGCCGTCTGAAACAAATCAATCTTAACAGGGTTAAGAATCCCAACTGGCCGAAGGCAAACAAGCTGGCTATTTACAAGCGTAGTAGAGGATATGAACTCGGGACTGCCGTGAACAAATCCAGCTAGGGGTTAGAGCGGGACTTGAACTCGAGGCCTCCGAATCCTTGCAAGTCCAGCGATCTAACCACTCGGTCACGCTGCCTCCTAGGTTTTTCATTCCCACGCTTCTGATGTAAAATTAAGGCCATGCGTGCTATTTTCACACCATACCGGATAGTTTTTCATGACGAAACGAACACTTATCCCATACGTGACTCTCTGCTTTAGAGATCAACGAGGTGCAGCTTCGCTCCGTTAAGAATCGCGCCGAAATCACAGTTCTTATGCGTGAACAGAAGCTCTATCCGGCATGGTTTTCCTGCCGGCGCCAAAGCTATCCGATATACTGTGAACATACCCTTATTGTCTAATTAAAAATAAAAAACCGTGAAAGCAGCAGTCACTAAGAATCATTAATACGGTAACTGGTTAACATTAGTACTTCAATAGCAGATAATAAGAAGCGCGGGGGGGTGGGGGAAACCTTAATGGATATTAGCATTTTTGTGAAACAGATTGAAAACAGAGAACACTTAGAAATCTCAAGTATTCTCAGCCAAAAGCCAAATTAATCTAAAGTTTATATTTGGAATTTTAGATCTGGCATTACCGAATCCAGTCGACCAAGGGCTGCGATATCTACCAGCTCCTCCGTCTCCTATAGAGCAGCAACGTTCTTTCTGGAAAGCACCTACTTTTTCTCTCTGGAATTGCCTTCAACAACCCCATAGCGGAGCAGAATCCTTTGCGCGCTGGATGCGCCAGTGGGCGGAGATGAGGCGCCTTCAAAGTAATTCCCCATTTAGCCTGCCAGGGGCGTATCGATTATACAATGTAATAATTCCGCAAGGAGAAAGACCTGCCAGCCTAAAGACGACTCAGTCTGATGAAGAGTTTCAAACAGAAAATGGTGAGGAAAACATAGAAGGTCTGAGAAATGAGCGTAAGGCAAAGGGAGCGAAACAACTCTATAACTGTCAGATTTGTGATAAAGTTTTTAATAATTCCATCAGCTTGAAGCAACACATGATAGTACACTCAAACAAGAAACCATTCCAATGCAAGGCGTGTGGAAAGAGCTTCAAGCGATCCTCCACTCTGTCTACGCACATGTTAATTCATTCCGACACGCGTCCTTTCGAGTGCCAGTTTTGCAGCAAGAGATTCCATCAGAAGTCCGATATGAAGAAACACACTTACATTCACACAGGGGAAAAGCCTCATCAGTGTAGCTTTTGTGGCAAGTCGTTCAGCCAGTCATCCAATCTAATCACGCACTGCCGTAAGCATAAGGGGTTCAAGCCATTCTCGTGTGAAGACTGCGGAATATCGTTTATGCGGAAAGTGGATTTAAGGAGACATAGATATACACATGAGACATTCGAGTAGGTTCCTTAGGCTCTNAAAGCCAAATTAATCTAAAGTTTATATTTGGAATTTTAGATCTGGCATTACCGAATCCAGTCGACCAAGGGCTGCGATATCTACCAGCTCCTCCGTCTCCTATAGAGCAGCAACGTTCTTTCTGGAAAGCACCTACTTTTTCTCTCTGGAATTGCCTTCAACAACCCCATAGCGGAGCAGAATCCTTTGCGCGCTGGATGCGCCAGTGGGCGGAGATGAGGCGCCTTCAAAGTAATTCCCCATTTAGCCTGCCAGGGGCGTATCGATTATACAATGTAATAATTCCGCAAGGAGAAAGACCTGCCAGCCTAAAGACGACTCAGTCTGATGAAGAGTTTCAAACAGAAAATGGTGAGGAAAACATAGAAGGTCTGAGAAATGAGCGTAAGGCAAAGGGAGCGAAACAACTCTATAACTGTCAGATTTGTGATAAAGTTTTTAATAATTCCATCAGCTTGAAGCAACACATGATAGTACACTCAAACAAGAAACCATTCCAATGCAAGGCGTGTGGAAAGAGCTTCAAGCGATCCTCCACTCTGTCTACGCACATGTTAATTCATTCCGACACGCGTCCTTTCGAGTGCCAGTTTTGCAGCAAGAGATTCCATCAGAAGTCCGATATGAAGAAACACACTTACATTCACACAGGGGAAAAGCCTCATCAGTGTAGCTTTTGTGGCAAGTCGTTCAGCCAGTCATCCAATCTAATCACGCACTGCCGTAAGCATAAGGGGTTCAAGCCATTCTCGTGTGAAGACTGCGGAATATCGTTTATGCGGAAAGTGGATTTAAGGAGACATAGATATACACATGAGACATTCGAGTAGGTTCCTTAGGCTCTGTCCACATGAATCAGGACATTTGGAAATAACCTAGTTTTAAGCCGGATCCGTGTGGACGAAACCGCAAACCACTCTGGAGATGTATTTACAAAAGATGCCCACTCTTGTGGACGAAACCTTAAAAAGCCCTTCGAAAACATTCTCATCATGAATACTTTTTACGCACTGCTCAGCCTCACCTGGGTGCTATTGTTCCAAGGCCCATTGTTGGAATATCACGAAGGAACTCAGAATTAGTGTGGGAAAACTAAAGGCGCTTTCCAAAAGTCAAAACTGGCCGGCTGGACCATGGTCAGACCTACCAGACATTTTGGCAACGAAGTTGTTGTTTTTTTTTTCCTAAAGGTTTTGCTGAAAAACCATTTCCTTTGTGCATTATGTTTAGTATTTCACTGATCTGGGTGATTACTTTTTGATTAAAGTGAAATTCTTATTACAATGGGAATAGGTTGGCCGATCAGTTCTGACAAATAGAAAGCGCCCTCAGGACATCTATCGAAGCCGATTGTGTAAAGTACATTCAGGTAGCATTCATTGAAAAAGTTTTGTAGAAATGTTTCAATGCAGGCCTCTTCATGGTCACCTTGATAAATAATATAATCACTTTTAGATTTTCTCATTTTCCTATGGAGGATCATTTGAACTAACTATGTGATCCATGAGGATTTTTTGATAAGTTTAAAATTTTTGTTGGGTCAGAGAAACTGTTTAGGCAAAAGAAACGAAGATTGAAAGCACTACTAAACAAATAAACAACTGACTTGAAGTGAAGTGAAGTAAGTGTATGGACTTAGGTACCTCAGAGTTCCTTGTTCTTGTTCCTTGTTATATAATTTAGCTCAGTTTTCATATGTATTTTAGACCGGGATAAGCATTGTAAAGTCCGGGGTGTATATCAGTAGAAGGATTCTAACGTTTTGCAAAACAAACAGTTAATTTGTCGTACAGTTATTTTCATGCTTTAAAGAAACAATACATTTGCTGAAAAGCAGTAAATTTTCTGACTGATTTTCCTAGTTAACTACTCTTACTATGTATCTTACTTTGCAAAATACGCAATTATAGTAAATCAGAAGACAAGTAACAATCATTAACTATTACTATTAGACTATTAGAAATGTTTACCAAATAATAACGATGAATTATCTTTAATAGTCAATCACCTCGCCAAACCCAGAAGTTGCCCAGTTTAGTTCGCCAGTCAAATAACAATTTCGGAAAATGGATTGCCGATGTAAAGACAATTTTGATAACGATTTAAGGACTAAAGGATCTTTTTTTGTATAATGCTTGGATATAAGTTGTTTCTAAATCTAGTGTAATCTTTTCTAATGTAAATATATCATTTAACACGCCACAGCTTTTATACATATAGAGAAGAAAAAACTTGAGATAGCGCAGATAAATCTAATGATAGCTTTGATACTCATAAATTTAAAAAACAATTCTTTAGTACGTTTTTTGAGAAGACATTTTTGGAACACTTTTCATAGCTCCATGTTGTAAATACGAAGTAAAGTAAGGTCAATAATATTAAAACATATTAAATATATTCTAAACTACAAAGATGTCACCTGTCTTTTGTTAACCTAAGATAGGCCCAATTTTAGCAGCTTGCATACATTGTTTCTTACGTGGTCGCGCTAAATTTTNAGTTAATTTGTCGTACAGTTATTTTCATGCTTTAAAGAAACAATACATTTGCTGAAAAGCAGTAAATTTTCTGACTGATTTTCCTAGTTAACTACTCTTACTATGTATCTTACTTTGCAAAATACGCAATTATAGTAAATCAGAAGACAAGTAACAATCATTAACTATTACTATTAGACTATTAGAAATGTTTACCAAATAATAACGATGAATTATCTTTAATAGTCGATCACCTCGCCAAACCCAGAAGTTGCCCAGTTTAGTTCGCCAGTCAAATAACAATTTCGGAAAATCGATTGCCGATGTAAAGACAATTTTGATAACGATTTAAGGACTAAAGGATCTTTTTTTGTATAATGCTTGGATATAAGTTGTTTCTAAATCTAGTGTAATCTTTTCTAATGTAAATATATCATTTAACACGCCACAGCTTTTATACATATAGAGAAGAAGAAACTTGAGATAGCGCAGATAAATCTAATGATAGCTTTGATACTCATAAATTTAAAAAACAATTCTTTAGTACGTTTTTTGAGAAGACATTTTTGGAACACTTTTCATAGCTCCATGTTGTAAATACGAAGTAAAGTAAGGTCAATAATATTAAAACATATTAAATATATTCTAAACTACAAAGATGTCACCTGTCTTTTGTTAACCTAAGATAGGCCCAATTTTAGCAGCTTGCATACATTGTTTCTTACGTGGTCGCGCTAAATTTTTAACAATTTCGTTTCACCATTCCCGTCAGAATTTTATTTATCAAGCGAAACGAAAATAGAGCCTGCTCTCAGGTTAGTGTTTTGGTGGCACGGAATCCAACAGTATTGAGGCCTAAAGAACAGGAAATATAATACTGGACAAAAGACTTTGTGGGGCTAACCCTAACCCTAACACTAACCCAACCCTTCGCCCCACCATGCAAACAACGTTGGACACTTATATCCAGAATATTTACCGAGTTTCAACATCGTATAAGGTGGGGGAGGGAGAACTGGAACCAATTTTCGAAAAGGATGCACTGTTCTTTGAGGACACCCAAAAGTTACATAAAATTATGAATAAAGCATTACGGTCCCAAGGACTGTTGTTCAGGGTTGTAGCTTGCGATCAAGGCCAGTGTAATAATCAGCAGTATTTTATAGTACGCATACTTGCATATTGTACTAGATCTTGAGGAATCGGCCACGTTGAAGAACCCTAGAAGTTTGTTAATTTGTGGTCTTTAGTGAAGATTTTTACACACAGTACCGTCATACGTTAGGGTCTGACAAATCCAATTTCTACACGGCAATAAATCACACCTTAACCTTAGTTATGGTTCTTGAGAGTTCAACCTCAGGAGAATTCGCCTTTATGCGAGTTGTAATATGCACGTAGTACGTACCTAGCGTTCCCATGATTCTTCATGATACTCTCTATCGACCATGTGCTTTATTTTTGTAATGGCGGTTTAAACTCTACTTTAAATGTTGTTGAGTTCGATCCTTGCCGTGTTCCTTGTCATCTACTCTAATAAATCAACAGTTCTCATTGCCATCGCCGTCGGCATCGAAAGGTATCTAAACCTCCCTATTCACTTTCATCTGAAGCTTCTGGTATTATGCCGATGTAGTACTCGTATACTTTGCCGCATGTTAAGAATAATGTACCCGGGCTGTGGGTACGGTTTTCTTCATCCTAGGTATAATGAAAACGAACCACTGGAGCCAGGGTAAGCATAAGACATGTGACCCACCACCCGACGGATAGACTGGACCTACTCTCTTACACTATCACAATAAAAAGTCTAAGATCTAAATACATTTATAGTGCAGTTTGTCGGAAAATGCAAGATTCATGTAGAAAAAAGATTTCAGTCTTACCTCCGATTCGCAAGACAAATGATTGTGTCTGACAGGCTAACCACATGCGGTGCGGGGGAGGTGGGGTGTTCTTGAATAGCCCGCTTGTTATAGTTATGATTATAATAATTAATCGTAGCAAAATTCTCTAATCTGATTGGCTATCGGAAGCTATAGCTGAAAGGACAGTGTAAGAAGAAGATCGTGTTTTATTTTTTTTAAAAACTTTTAATTAACCATCACAAATTTTGTCTTTATCATCATCAAGTGCCATCAACTAGTAGTAGGTCGGCTATCATGGATTTCCAGCTGTTCCGATCTTCCGTTCTTCTTACACGTCTATTACAAGTGTGTCCTAACCATTCTTTGATGTTTTTCATCCGGGTAACTCATGGTCTCCCCCGTCCTCTCTTCCCTTCAAATTTTGTCTTAGTTATGATTAATTGGTAACAGGACTTCGCGTCGTCCAATTTTGTTTACAGTAATCTCTCGTAGGATTACAGGCCGATTTGGACTCCTCTCAGACCTATCACCAGAATCGATCAACCTGAGAAAGCTCACTGGGGATCTGCTGGAATCGAATAAAAACACTTGAACAGAAATGAACATTTCTCTAATTTCTGTTTTTGCGGAGCATTAAACCGGTCTCACCGGGCCTGCGAAAGCGAGATACCGAGATAGTCATATTCAGCCTGGTTTACGGATTAGATCACAAGTGTTTAATAAAACTCGAGTGCACCAAGGATTCAACAAATTTTCCTAGGGTGAACCCCGGATCAGCAGAAAGACAATTTCTTTTGGGAGCCCGTGAGAATAACTTCAAATTTCACCCGAATGGAAAACACAGGTAAAATTCTGTTCTCGGGCTCCCATGAAAACCTTTTCTTTGGAGTTATTTCATATAACTTATTACATTTATAGCCCGTGAAAAAAGTAAAAAAGGATGCAATATGCTTGAAATTATTCGGGTACTTAAAGGTTTTGAACATCCTAATGGATCCTAACGGAACAGTTGGACACTTAAGTAGCATTCTTGATAGAGGAGACTATTGCAGACGTGGTCACTGTTTGGTTTGGCGTCGGAGGTTCGGGCATGGGCAGAAAACAGAATTTCTCCCCTTTTCTGTTTGTTTGTTTGTTTGTTTGTTTGGCCCTTATTTGTCAACTTTTTTCGGGTGATGGTAAGAGGTGGAATTAAGGTTTCATTTCGGTGGGAGAAGCTTCCGCGAAAATCCCGAGGATCGTGAAATTATTTGAGTACAGAACGGTGATGGAACAAGATTTTCAACGTTGACTGAATCATGCTTACTTGTGTAAGTTTCGAAAGATCTCTTCCCCTTGCACAAGCTAGTTATCAAGGTTGTCTATGATACTTCAAACTGATGTGTCACTAATTATTGTCCAAAGCACAATGATTCTCTCACGAGAGGTTACGGGCGGTTGTAACGGGCCTGATGACTGAGGGAATAAGACTCCCAAGCTTCGTTGCATCACCGTGAATAGGCGACAAGCAAAGACAGTTAACTTATATTTACATGTAATACTTAGCAGAATAGTGCAGATCTGTGCATCTCTTTTGTATATAACTACTAAAAAATCACCGCGATTCAATGTTAAGCTACTGCGCACTGAGGTATGATTCAGTCTAGGCAGAACGAGTGTTTGAAATCAATAGAGAGATTAAGATTCACGTTTACGCCTAACGGCAAACGGGAATTTGTACCACGTGACCAAGTTTTTCCCTTAATTGTCGTTAACTGTTTATCACTTCAACAAAAAAATAAGTAGTTTGACGCCAGTTTTATACAT